AGTCTGAGTGGTGCAACAAGCAAAAGCACAACAATAGTGAGATGGTACTCAAAGCCCTCGAACGAAAACCTGGGAAAGGAGGAGGAACTCAGGCAGCAGTGTCTATGTGATGGAACCGGTGGCTTAGCCTCTGAATTCGCCATAAAGAAATGAATGGTACAGGTGAATGGTGCATGGTGTGAAACACTAGTTGCATTAAAGCGTGTCAACGCGCGTCATCGCTAAGTCTGAACGCTGCCATAGCAGGATAATTGAAAGTTGGACGTTGACATGGCCTGTGAGCAAGACCGTTGCCTCTTCGCGAGTGGGTCGTGCTTTCCACACGTATTTTTGAGCTGCGGAAATATGGCATCTTCCATGCTTGCAGGTGGGACTATTATTCAAAGTGGATGTTTGCGTTTCTTATGAGCACAGGGCATCCTTTTAACTACCGGTCCGCAAAGGTCAGATGGAAGGCTGAGATGGCGAGAGCCGATGCGGGGTTTCATCTTGCAACCCCGACCATGATTAGCGGCATTACTTGGCGCTACATCATTTCCCTCATTGATACTCACCTATGGGACCTATATGTCAAGTTCTGTGTCCTGAAGAAAGATCTCGAAGTGGGCCACTTGTCATTGTACCACCTCCACCTATGAAAAGATGAACTACGCAGTATCCTGAAGGAAGGCTACAAACTTGAGGGACAAGTTGCGCGCTTAAATATTATACAACAGGGCTAATCGATTTATACTCTCGGGCTCCCGCCCTGGCATCTTATCAATACTATCAAAGCGTTCCTAAAAAGAGCTTTTGGTTCCCTTCGCCGCAGATGGGGGTCCCCAGCGACCCTCTGAGCGGAAGATGGTGTGGTCGATGAGACAAGAAGAGGGATGCATTTGCTGTTGTGAATTTTTCCTTTTCCTATTTTCTCATTCCCCTATTTCACTGGTGCTATACACTCTCTTAGTCATCTGAAATTCACACTTTCAATTGGATTATCGGTAGGAGTATCGCTCGGTCTTCCCTGCTCGATGCGTTTTGGGTGCTAAGAGTGGGGTTGTATAGGTGAAACGATGGTGGAGACTTTTCAACTTGTTCCAGTCTTTTTAGTTCTTTCTCACCTGTCGAATCAATTAAATCATAATTTGTTTAGTGTTTGTGCAATCGAATGATGTGGTGGTAGTCGCAATATTGTCAAAGGCAGAACCGGAACGCTTACGAATAGGACGAGTTGTGGTGAGTCGTACTTTCACTGTTTTCAATTGTCACTCGATGTGACGGGAAAAGTGACGCTAGAGAAGCGGAGATAAAAAAATGAACGTCGAGATCTGCCTAGGATACGCCATATGTTTGATTTCTCTCCGGGTGTGCAACGGATTTTGAGTTCGCTTAACTAAAGGGATATCCCTGAACCTCATTAGCAGCTTCTTCCTGGCTGATCTTTTGGCTTCTGGGAAGCCGAAAAGGATTCGAGAAGCCATTTTTCTTCGAACCA